TTAATGAAGGTGGCCTGGTCCTCGATGGTAAGCTTGCCCTTTCGTTTCTTTCTATAGCAGATCATTGCAATAATTCCTGCTATTAGCAATATTGCTGCCACCACCACAGCAGGAATGACCGTGTGGAGGTAGACGTCATCCGCGCTATCCTGGCTTGATCCCACAGCTGGAGTGACAGCTGGAGGTTCTGGGATATCGATGTCTCCTGGTGGGATGAAGGAATACATTCGGCAGCTTGCCCTCCCCTTCACCTTGACGTCCAGTGGTTTGAATTCGGGGTCCATTATGTGCTTGAAGCTCTGTGAGGGTCTTCCGTCAGAATTGGCCAGCGTCCTGCTCATGACTAAGATCTGCTCCTTTGGACATGGATGCTGAGGCAGGCTGGTGTTCGTCCACTCCACCACAATGGACCCTTTGGTGATGTTTCTTAGACTCACCGTGCTGCTGTTGCGGTCCCCGAGGACATATGCCAGCTTTTTAACCAGGAGGATCTTCTTGTGGATGTTGTTCGTTACAGACCGTGGCTCACCCTCCAATCGTGCCGTAAATATAACGGGGGTTTTGTCATTGGTTGGCCAGCGGTTTACGCGTACCTCAAAAGCATCAATTGCATTGAGGTCACCTTTGTCAGCTGCCTGCATGAAGTATTCATGTTTTCCCACATGCTGGACATCAGGCAGTCCATAGAGGAGTTGGCTGGTGGTGTTGAACTGGATCCAGGAGTCCTCTGGAACTATTTCATTATGGTTTTGTCGAAGGGTTAATCGCAGCTTATCTGTCGTTCCATCCTCTTTGTCAAAGAATGTATCAGATGGGATCTTGACTTCGAAATAAGTGCCCACCAATGCATTGACCTGGTCGATGGGGTTCCTTAACTCGGGCTTTTCGTTGAATGGATCTGGAACAGTGCGTGATGTGGTGGTCATAGGAGACTTTGTTGTGGGGGTCTTTGGCGTTCTGAATGCTGGTGTGGTTGTCTTCTGCTTCCTTCCTGGTTTCCTGGTAGGTTTTCTGGTGGATGTGGGTGTGGAGGCTGTGGCTGGTGTGGCGGTGGGTTGTACGTAGGTAGGCCTGGTCATGCTCGGCTGGATAGCAATGCTGCTGGTGGACTCCATGACCTTCGTTGGCTGGGAAGGTCCCGTAGTCGGAGTGTGAGCAATAGGGTCACGTACTCTAAAAGTAGGCTTTCCCGGAAGCGGGACGGGACCTCTCACGGGAGGGGCAGAGCTTTCAGTCGGTGCAGCGATAGAGGGAGAGGAGAGGGTTGGGATAATTCGTACTGGTGGCTCCACTGCAGTTGTTGGAGGAGGCACAACCAGAATAGGCGTCGGAGTGTTGTTTAGTTGTCGTCTTACTCGTTTGGGGACATGAGGTTTCTTGTTAGCGATGTGCCAGCCCACCACGGGGTAACCCAGCTTGGCTGACATTGTGCCTTCCTTTGCAGGACCCTGGACGCTGTTGATATCTGGGACTGTGCTCTGGTCCAGCGAGCAGCCGAGCTTCCAGGACAACAGAGCGCCGTTCTCCACCACCTGGAGAGACATCAGAAATGTTGATTAGATGTTTACCAGTTCAACCCTATGGTGACTATTAGAAATATTCATAAGTAGCTGCACAAGGTAACTAATTTTGTTCTATAAGAAGCCCTTCAAATTGACACAAACTGCTCAGTTCAGAAAAGAGCTTTGAGGGTTACTGCTAGTAGAGTGAAATAACTATTCACTCACCTTTTTGGCATTCCCAGGTCCAGCCATAAACGCAGACATGTCAAACAGCCTGTTGTTGACCACAGGGAGCATCTTCATGTACTGAAGCCCAACACCAGAGAAGCTCCTCATGTTATCCAGGAGCTCTACCCTCTGCTCTGAGCTCATCTTTGTCAAATCAGCATCCAGGATCACCGTCAGCACTGTGACCGGTTCCTCGTTCCCACACATGAACTGTTGGACGTCATTTTCAGTGGACGCCTGGTTAGACGTCAGCTGAGCTGAATCTGAATCCAGGTAATCTTCAGGGTGCACTGCGATGGAAAACACCTCTGAAGAAGACGAGGATTTAGTGTGGTTGGAGATGGACACGGTGATGTAGTGAACACCTTTATCCTCCTCCAAAGGTAGACCTTGCAAGATTCTGCTGCTGGCATCCCAGTGCAGCCATTCTGGGAGCGAGTCCTTACCCATCTCTGTAATCTGGAAGACAGAAGAGGGGAAAAAAAGAGCCAGATAATTATATATATTAGCTAGCTTAACGGTTTTAGCATGTAGCTACAAAATATCCAAAAAACTGGGTTGGTAGGGGAGTTGGAGATTTACTATGATGTGGTTTGGTTTAGGCCAGGGGTGGGCAACATTTTAGATGTGTCCTTGATCCAACACAGCTGATTTAAATGGCTAAATGACCTCCTCAACATGTCTTGAAGTTCTCCAGAGGCCTGGTAATGAACTAATCATTTGATTCAAGTGTGTTGACCCAGGGTGAGATCTAAAACCTGCAGGACACTGGCCCTTGAGGCCTGGAGTTGGACACCCCAGGTTTAGGTTCTAATCAAACATGATTTCTGGTCAGCTTTGACAGTAGTCTAACAGTATCAGAAGACAGGTATGAAAGTTTTGGGACCTCTCTACTTCAATTTTGCAACAAACCCGATGTAAACGTAGCTTCTTTGTGTAAATCTGAAACGGCCCCTCGGTGCTCGTGCCGCTAGCAGTCAACCACAAATGTCGATGCTCAAATATAAATCATAGTTTGTCATCAGCGTCTGCGGCGGCATTAACATAACTCCTACGTCAACCATAAATCCAGTTTAAGCCTTCCTCCTTCAGCGCATATGGACACACTCAACAGAATTGTAATTTAAGCCCGACTAAAATTAAAATAACTCGGCCAATTACACGGCTGGGGACGCCCACATGGCAGGAGGCTGATGGAGAGAAATGGATCGCAGGGGACTGACAATGCATCCGTGCACATAAATTCAAAAACAAGAGCGAATGCATCCTGCGCCGCCTCCCTGCCCCCGACCCTCCACCAGCCCCTACAAGTTAATTCTGCGGCTAATAAATCCTGGTTGATAAATTATGTAGAGGCAACGCTCCCTAGACACATCATTAATGCTCTAACCAGCACACAGGCGTCGCCGGGGGAAAACACACACAAACACACAAACACACACAGCCATGCAAACAGTCGAACACACACAGAAGCCTATTTTCCATGAGAGGTGCAGCGCATGTGGCCACCTCAACAAAAATCAAAAGCATGCCAGCAGCTGGACTTCTACCAGTTCCCCCCTTGTGGACAACAAGTCTCCTAAATACCCCCCTTCACGCCCCCTGCTGGATAAGCGCCCTCAAGCCTTCTCTGGGAAACTCTTGGATCTCGTCCTTTTTTCCAGAAGCAGAGGAAACAGCAAAGGGACATAGTGGAAATAAGTTGTTCCAATCATTTTATTTATATATCTTCCTGCCTTTTCTTTGTTGCCTCGCCTGCTTTTCTCATCCTCAGTTTCCCGTCTACTTCCCTCTACTTCCCTTTCTTTCTGCATCGCCATGCTCTCCTCTTTAGTCCCGCCTCCCTTTTTCTGCCGTCATTTCAAAGTGTCACGATTAAAATCTGATGCTCCTTTTCCCCGCCGCCAGATAAAAGCTCATTTCTGGATGTCACGATTCAGCTCGAAAATTATTACTGCAGGAAAACAAATTATAGATACAGTTCTGTCCACATAATTATAGATTACAGAAAAGCAGACAGGGCCCATTATAACCGACACTTGAGCTTCGTAACATAGGCTGTTTGAAACCAGCAGCCTTCTGCAAAGCTGCGCGGCGAGAAAGCAGAGGCGGCAAAAACATCAGAGAACGGGTCAACGGCTGGAAATCAAGAAACAAAAATCTTCAGCTTCCTCGGCTGATTGAATTTGGCACAAAGCGTTCTCCAAAGACAGAACTTCAAACCAAGCGCCTGCAAATTAAATCACAAAGAGACGACGAAGGACACGCGAACTGTCGGGCAGCGATCTCCTCCAACTCGTCTCTAATTAGCAGGTAAATTGCTTAATTTGTGTCCGAATAGCAGAAGGATGATCGCTTACTTAAGAGGTGCTAATTAAATATGAGTGTGAGGAAAAAACACGGGTGATCATTTCACTTATCGAGGCCTATATCAGGAAAAACTCACTGCTGTGCTGTGTTAGTACCGTACGGGAACCCCAGTAACACCAAACTGGGCCCCAGGTCCAGACAAACACAAATAAATAAACAATAAACATATCACCCTTTATACGGACATTCAAACAAATAATATTCAATAAACCTAATTTTAGTAATTACTATATTTTTATGATCTCATTTCTTATTCTGCAGGGATGTAACCCCCTGGTGGGCTGTGAAGGTACTGCAGGTTAAAAAAAGCATAAAATCAAATGATAATTTTTGGTTTAATTCTTATATCATTCAGTAGGACAACACCCAATCGGACTCGTTCGTCTATTAAAATCTTCCTTTGGACTTCAGTTTTCAATTTTGAAAAGAAGTTGAAAGACTGAAGCACGAATGTGAAGTTTAAAATGATTTATTCTTCATTTTGGGGGTGCGTTTGATCCCGAATTCACTGAAGAGATTTTAATTTGAAAAGTAAAGCTGCTGACGAATCAAATTCAAGAAATGAATGAAAGGAAACACAAAGGGAAAAGTTCATTTTCCTCTCGTGTGATGATCAGAGCCGTGATTACAGGTTCGGGTCGGCTGCAGAACAGTTTCACATTCTTCACATGATCCGAACAAGCGATCAAATAAAAATGGAGCGATTCACGGAATTGGCTGAGATGTGAATTAGACTCGTGTGTAGCTTTTTCTGGCAGTTTCCTGTTATTTTTGGACATTTCACAAATAAAAGGAGTAAATTCATCTCCACTTTAGTTTATTGTGGATCTCAGTTCTCAGGACTTCCCTTCCTATATACATTTTTATATGCAGGAAAAATCTTGGTGAAATATAAAAATCTCCTGCTGCTTGCTACCAGGCATCCACCACAGGGTGAAGACATGTCGGGAGAACATGACGAGGGCGGAGCAGAAAATAAAAGATGACAATGAGAGGTGGTGCTGAATGATAAGCTGCAGGCCAGCTGTTCCTGTTAGCTGTGTGGATACAAACGGCAGACGAAGCTAGTCAAACCTGATGTTTCCTTTTTCTAAAAAAACCCAAAAACCCATCTTCCTGACCCGAATGACACTAAAACGGCAGCAGCACAGGCCCGACTCCAGCTGTGATTGTGTACGAGCATCCCCTCCACTGCACTTCCCCAAAGCTGCTCTCCGAGGCAGCGTTCCTGGCTCGGCGTACGTTAAAACAGAACACAACAGCGCCGTTTTAACTCCTACATGAACCCAGCAGAGAGCGTGGAGTTTCCTGCTTCCCTAAAAGAACATGAAAAATACATCAAATCCTCTCAAAATGTCAAGAAAAATATTTCATATCTTCTCCTGGCACACGTCTGCGGCACAGAGGAGTTTGATGTTTGGCCCTAAAGGTTATTGTGCGCTCTCACGAGCTCCTCTGGCTTCCCTTCTTCCTCCCGTTCAGCACGCTGGCGAGGTTACAGCCCAAGCCCCTCTGAACCAGCCGGGAAACTTTGGGAGGATTGGTCTGGAGGAGAATGGAGGGCGCTAAACCACTTTGTGGGACATTATTAAAGGTGAAGGCGAGGAGGACGGACGTACCGAAGCAGCGAGCGGGATGAGAGCTTCGGTTAAATGCTCGAGGACTTTACAGCAGAGAGAGCATCCAAAAAGACTTAATGCTTAATGATGACGTTGGTGCTTTATGGCGGATTCAAAGACCAAATCACTGACATGCAGACAGAGGTGTGGATGCCCCCCCCCACTTAAAAGACTTAATTAAAACCAAATACGTGATAATCTCAAAGTTGGGACTTGTCTCATCGTCTCTGAAACAAGTCCCAACTTTGTGGCTGACACATGCGTCAGCCACAAAGCCACCGTGACTATCAGCTGCAACAAACTAGGCAGAAAATGTATTTGAAGTCTGTGTGAGCGACAGCCATGAAACACGAGCAGACGTTATCGCATATCAGCAGCATCATCCTCGTTTTCCTGCGCGTCGCTGGGCTTGCTCGCTCTGCAGGCTCAGCTTCCTCATTCAGAGTCGGAGACGCAGCCTGGACACAAAGTCAGAGACGGATCGCAGAGTATTCGCAGCGTGTCTGACGTACAGAGGGCACGAGCTTTATTTTGAAATACCCCCTCTGACCTCTGGCACATAGGCGTGGACACTAGCAGACGCTTTAACGATCACTTCTAGTTGAGCGCAGCGTCTCTGCCTGAGAGTAAACAAAGGTTTTCATGTCCTCTCTGACCAAAAGGACCCTCGCTGCTAGCATCACAGTTGCTACGCTACAGGAGCAGCGCTGTTATAGACCGTCCCACCCGGTTCTGGCTTGTGAAGGTGTGGCCTGCATTAGCCACACCCTGGATTTGGACACAGGTAACACGTTAAGGATCTCAGGTGGTGTGACACATAATTAACTTCCCTTCTGTCCTCACTCTCTTCACACCCGGCGCTCTAATGACCTGATAATATGGCACATAGATGCACCGCCTTTATGAGACACTGGACACACACACACACACACACTTTTGTTACCTCGAGAAAAATGCTATCACAGAGCTCTTTCAAAGAAGTCCAAGAGTGGGACTTAGAGAGGCAGATAGACCGAGATAGTGACAAAGACAGGAAGCAGGAACGAGAGAAAGAAAGAAACGAGAGGTCAGGCAAGAATAATGAGAGAAAATGAGGGAGAGATCTCCTAAACATGGACATATTACGAGGAGGCGTCGAGTCTCGGAGCAGAAAGAAAGCAGCTCATTGTCGCAGCGAGAGGCGAACGCCGAGAAAGGAGTCCATTGTTACGGCGGACCCGGTGACAGCTCCACAGATAAGCCTCATATTTGAGAGGAGGACGAGGATGAGGAGGTGCAGCGGGAGCACAGTGATGTGATATGATGACTTGGGGCAAAATGAACCTCAGAGCGAGATGAAGGAGGAATGATGGGGGGAGCAGAGGAGTGTAAGGAAATGCAAAGAGGGGAGAAGTGGAGCGAGGTGAGAGGCTCAGCGTGGGGCGAGTGAGAAAGGTTGCATTCAGAGAGCAGGGGGGTGGGGGGGGTTGC